GGGCAATAAAAATTAATAAGTATGCCAGTTTTGGAAGAAGCGAAAACAGTGATCTACATCACCAACCATAACATGATCACCATGGCGATGGTCATTTTCAAAACATACAAAATGGCGGACAAGGGAGAGGAGACGAGCGACTAAATACACATATTCGATATTATGACATCAAATGTGGGCTTATTGCTCATGCACAGGGATTGATGGGGGAGAGTGTGGCATTTTTCATGTTTCAGATTGACCTTTTGCACAGTACAGGGACTGAACATATTATTTATTTGGCATCTGTAAAGTATAAACAATATTTGACGCAAGGGATTGAACATTATGTAGAGAAAATCTTCACAAGCCTCCACTTCCATGACTCCTTCCTCATCTATCTCCTTTAAAGCCCCTTGAATAAGGGCCACAGTCTCTTCTATGGTTGAATAGTCATTGAGTGTGAGCTTCCACTCACAAGGTATATAAGCGCCCCCCTCCAACCTGTTTATCTCTTACCCATTTTTGAAAAGGTCAAAGGAGGGGCTTTTGTGGCGGGTAAACCTGTGACCACGCTACAAAGACACAAAAAAAAACATATTTAATTTTATTGAGGTAGGGTTGAATTTGGACATTAAATTTTTCATTACAGAGGAACATAAGGCGAACCTAAAGCAATATTTTGCCCTCAGAGCACAAATATGTCCTTCTGAAGATATTTAGCATTTTGTCTTTCTCGTTCCCTTTCCCAGCTTTTTGACACAAGCGCGACAACATGTTTGTAATATCTCCAGATGTTTGTCTACATTTTTGACGGAAATCCTGATCAAAATAAAAGAAATCAATATAAGAACCTACTCACACTGATTTAAAACTCATTCCACACGCATGATCTGGATCAATAAAGTGGTTTTTTGATGAGAGTCGCATACATTGCCGGTGAACACGACCAAAAACAGACCTGATCGATTATAACTAAAACTACATAGACAGACTAAGGAATAACCATCATTCATCAATATCAGTAACCCTTCCTGTCCGTTGGCAATTTTCAATGTGTGGTTGCCATTTTTACTAGGTTGTTGCCATCGACGAAACTTTGCCTGAACACACTTTAAACGTTGTAGTTTTGAGGAAAATTAGTCTTGATTTCGTAAAAATTCGGCAAGATACTGAAAACTAAACACAAAGTCATGTACTTACATTCGATACCCGTCAAGATGGCGGCGACGGCGTCGAAGGCCATTTGAAAACTGTCGCTTTTAACTACCGAAATGTGGCAGGAAACTTCCCTTGACATTCAAAAAGCAAGGAGAAGGCTTCTTCATCGGTACTGCTAGCTCGGAAGTCCCGGATATTAAACGAGGAGACCTGGAAAAGGCTTTGAAAAAGCTCCCTTGTTTCTTGCGATTATTTTTTCCTATTTTTGCGTGTTTTTAGCAGAACAATGGAATCATGACGTCATCGCTTCTTCCAAAACTGGCATACTCCCGAACTGATAAACAAGCTTCCTTTGACAGTTTGGGAGATCATTTCCACATAACAAAAATAGTAACCGTTCCTGTCTAGACCCTTGCGGGACTCCGCTAATGATATTATCCGACGCAGGGAAATCATTATTGATCAAGCATTGTTGTTTCCTGTTTTCAAGGTAGGATTGAACCACTTTGGTTCTAAACTGGGAACTTTTCAACTTGGCACCAATCATCATCACTTCCGTTCCCTTGGCCGCGCGCGCACTGCAAAGTTTTAATTTGTTATTCGTGGCGTATACAAACGTTGCACCGACTCTAACCTGCATGTAATTCTACTGATCAAGGCCCACGCCCCAAACGTTATTAGGAAGCAATTCCATATCGTAAAACACGCCACTTTTTTTCCTACTTAATTCTTTCAACATTTCCCTCAAGCAGAAAAGAGCGCGAACCCTCCATGGTTACCCTGTTTAAATATTTTCATATGAAAACTGTGTCAATAACAAAATGCTCGAATTCGATTGGCTCGGAGCAGCCCATATTTTGTTGCTTAACGTTGATCTTCCAACAACAAAACGGTTCGATTTCCAGGATCTTGTAATCGGTTGCAAGTAAGAAAGTGAGATAAAGAATTAACATAAACCGTAAAGAAGATCAACCGAGACTCAACTTCTGCAGTTGCCACGATGATCTTTCTTGCGCTGAAGTAGGTGATAACTTGTTGTATTTACATGGTAGTAACACTTCACAGTATTGCAAAAGCATATCTTTAGTAAATGAAAACAAAACAAGGCAGAAAAACGTGCTATTAAGTGGGTATCAAAACGATATTTATAATTTTATCGACTCCAAACTTAGTAGTAAAGCTATGCCTTTTATTATAAGTAGCCTTTAGAGTAATAAGGTCGCTGATATGGTTTGAAATCATCTTGAGGTTACAATAAATAGTGTAATTTAAAGTTCGTCCCATCAAAGACAATACAAAACAGCCACTCTTGGATTCTGGTTTCCAGGTACTTGATTCCTGATTCAAATCGTTTGTGGAATTCCAGATTCCTTGACCTGAATTCAGGATTCCAAGCCCTGGATTTCGGATTTCACAAGCAAAATCTTTCCGGATTCTAGAATCCGGATTTCCTTACATGGGGTGCCAAGGTACACTAATGGGCTTGAAGACGAATCATAGCAGCATCTTGTTTTTGCCGAAATTTAAATAATATCAGAAGAGCTTTTCTGAACTCTGGCATTCTGATTGTGTAAATGAAGAGATTAACCAGCGAGTTTGCATAAGAAAAAACCAGTAAAGCATACTGCGCGTTTAAGTTTTTTAAGTAATAAAGGGAGTAAATACTATTAGATGTAAGATAGACGAAAGATCCTATAGCAAAATTAATGGTAGCCATATCAATAACGATACAATCGTCATTATGAAAAGTGTCACATTCATTTTTTTTTTGTCTGTTAGCTTCACCTTGTTGCTGAGGATGCGTCCCACAAAGAAATTTAACGATAATGGAGGCGTATGGAACACAGATAACAAATAGACACAAACAACAGTATGATTGCCATAAAAACAAAAAATGGGTCCATTCTTTCCCAAGGAGGTTAACTCGCCATGTCACAATAAGAGTTGATACCATCGCAGCTGAAACCCAGACACAAACAGCTGTTACCCAGTAGACCCATGTTTGGATAACTCGATGTTTGAATAGAAGAAATGTCGCATGTAACCTGTCTAAAGAAATTACTGCAATGTTCGTGAGGGAAGTCATTGGAAACCAATAGAAAACAAAAACTGATGTAATGTACATTCCAGAGGTTGATCTTGTGTTTGTCTCACTGTCGCATCCGGTGCCTAAGAACAGGAGTAGACCAATCATTGAGAATCCTCCAACAAGTATATCAGCTACTGTTAGGTTTATAACCAAGTACATACCACGAGTGCTGTTCTTCATAAAAAGGATGATTGATAGGAGGTTCACTGTTACTATAGCAACGGACTCGATAAGGAATACAGCAAACCAAGCGTTGCACTCGGATAAAGAAATCATTGCGGATTGCTTTCTTTTTGCTTCTCACCTTTTAATTTCAGTTTCCTTTTCTATCGCTGTTCTACCTATAAAAAGAATTAGAATAAAGATTAGTCATTTGGGAAAGTAACAGAAACAACATTAGTGCTTGAGTGCTGGATGGGATAGCATACGTGGCAGGCGTTCGAAAGGGAAGGGGAAGGATTCGACTGCGAGCAGTCCCTCTTCAGTCAATCGAGTTGAAGGCTTCTCTTTTTTTTTTTTCGCTCGCTTTGCTCGATTTCCTTGCTCTGGTGACCATCCTGAGAGACTGCTCGCTGTCTAGGGAAGGGTGGGATGAATTCTGGTGAATTGGTTGACTGGAAAAGTGAGAGGCAAAATATATTAAATTTTAGCCTTGCGTGCTATCTAATTAAAAGTTAAAGCCAGTTAAGTAAGAACTCTTTTAACTAAGTATAAAAAGTAACTGTCGGTGATCACATAGAAGCCAGTAAAGTAGTCATAAATTCGGTTTTATTTGCTGTTATAGTGAATGATAATCATTTTTTTCTTAAGTACGGTGAAATATGATAGTCCGGGTGAGTGTAGCCCTGAATAGGATTGTTGATGGCTACTAGCGACAGTTTAAATGACAGTAACAGTGGTTGTGATAGCAACAGTAACAGTAACTGTAATAGTAACAGTAAAAGTGACAGTAATAGTAACGAGCAGCGACAGTAACAGTGACAGTTACGGTTAACGGTTTACCGTTTAAATAAAAACCCATAAATCGGCCCGTGGACCACATAGGAGAGACACACATTTTAAGTAAGGTCAGCTGTTTTTTTTTTATTGAAATCCTTTCATTTTCGTAATTTACAGAAACGATAGGTTTTTTTCCCATACAAATCCTTATATTTCGAATGTTACGCAACAGCCGATGCTCATATTTCGAGCTTAGGCTACCTGTGGTATAATGGCACACTATCGAGAATGCTATGCGTTCGAGCTTATCTGTTCTGCCGTCGACAATAGTTTTTGTTTGCTCAGTCCAAACGGCGTAGTTGTATGTTGTATGTGATAGGAATAGTGCAAACAAAATCGGCCGACTTTCCGCCAGAACGTTTTGGGAACTAGATGAATCTTTTGTAAAGGGGGTGGGGGCAGTTTCCAATGCATTATTTCCCTGATGCTTTTACTTATTTTGGTATTTGTTTCTAATGATATTCTGCTTTAACGTCAACATGAGACTTGCTTTTTTCTTTCGGTTTTCAAACCTGCTTCATGCTGAATTTGTTAAATTCTACATTTTTATGTAAATGACCAATTTCAAACAATTTCGTGACGGTCATTATACTGGAATCTTTTCATGCTTCGCCGATTGATGACGTTCACTTCCGGTTGCTTGAAGGCTTCTTCGATGGATGCTCGATGCCATTCGGTTTCTTTGTTTTTATGGCGAACAGGGAAACGCAATGTTGTATCTTCGATACCACGGATGGTAGAGAGAAATATATGGCTACGTTTTTTAAAGCCAATGATATGGGCAAACAAAATGCTGAACATTGTTTTGTCTGTTTTGACGATAAATAACGCAAAGGCTGGCGGAATAGTGAGTCGCACTTTCAACACTGTGAGTGCCGTTCAAGATTTTGGCTATTGCGGCCTCTGATTTGCTGAAATAGCGTATGTTGTGTGGACTATGATTATGATGTGGACTATGACTGGAAAACGCCATTCGACGTCTGGGCGCTGAAAGGACGTAAGAGACCCCTGCCCTGTGAAAGAGCCAAGGTTAGTAGTTTTGTCAGTTTTTCACGCGCTCTCGGCATTGTTACTTGTATTACAATTTTAATGCCAAATAACTGCCTTTATAGTCGCAATTTGGTAAAACTGCACAAACACGGCACTGATCGAAACGAAGACTAATTACTGTCTGCAATGAGCTGAGTTTACTGAAATCGTGGCGAGCAGTAGCGTGAAAAGAAATTAAAATATTCAACTGAGATATCGGAAGTGAAGCTTAACTTACACTGGCGGCTGACTTCGTGAGCTTGAACAAACCACAGAAAAACTCCTGTAATTTGCTGAGAAATGTTCGTAAAACTCCATTAATTAAATAATGTGGTGTAGAACTTCGAATATACAAGTGTCTTAAGTTCCGCTTAACTATAATGACAGACTTGACAGCTAAACAAAGAAGAATTTACAACAGAAAGCGATCTTTTTATAGAATTGCGAAGTACGCAATGAAAGATAATGATATCCGGTGTTGAGAAACGTGTGTCGATATTGCTAAAAGGAATGCTATGTACACGAACGTGACAGTAGATAACGCACGTACTGTCATTGTTACCTTAGCCTGCGCTGCAAGCGTTTCAGCGCGAGTTCGTCGAGAAAGTTGAGACGAGAGCTAAAAATAAAAGGGAATGACGGCATCTTTTTTGCTCCCGCTCTAACTTTCGCGCTATAAGTCGACTGGCAACGCCTGCTACGCAGGCTATTCTAAGAGGTCTCTAGTGCTCTAGAAGACCTAGAACAAAGCGGCCTTCTTTTGTTTCCCGTAAACAAAGGAAATTGTCATAGGTGACCATCAGCATTTTTAAAAGTTGCGTCAGCAGTTTGTAATTATATCCAGTATATTCTTCAAAAGGGTACTAGGAAAACCAAAACACAGTTCTATAAACTTAACAACAGTCACATTTGTTGTATTTAAAAGTATTTACTTATTTCATGCACAGGCAGTGGACATCAAGGAAAAGCGGATGATGTATTTCGACCCAATGTTCACATCCGATCAGGATCGTTTAGAGTCTAACGACATTAAAAGCTCCCTTATGTCAAGCTTAATGCACCGGCATATGTGAGCAACTCCTCTGGCGGCGAGTCCGGGGCTGTCCCCATGGGAAGTCCACCCGGAGGGCGGTAACTGTAGAGAGTTTTACCGACTGCAGGCCAAGTTCGCTTGAGGGACCGAGTTACCTGCGGGATAACAGGTTCGGGCAGATCATCTAGAAGCTCATCTAGAAGAAGGAAACTTCGAACCCAAACCAGGCTTGGAGAGGGTTGGGCTCCGCCAGGCTTTATTTGCCCATGATGCGTCACATGAAATGACAACCATTTCTCAACCCATACCAGCATACCCGGCCAGCATACCAGAGGGAGAGGGTTACAACGTCTGTGGCGCCCCAAAGGTCATTGACTACGGGATAGGTGCAAGGTGCAAATATTATTAAGGTGATACCTTCGTTTGATGTGATACATTCAGCTGTAATTACTCGCACCACTCATCCTCTCGTTATCTGAATAAATGGTTAAATGGTTAGCCCGGGGGGGGGGAGTACTTCCTTATAAGAGGCTAATGGGGATGTGCCGCTGGATGGGGTCGCATTTTCACGACTGGACTGACTATAATGGGGTCGCATTTTCAATAAAGTTACTAGAATGGGGTCGCACATTTTCGGATTTTAGGGGGGTAAGAAAGTTCTTCATATTTACGGTTAGCAAACGTACCAGAATGCTTGTACTGTAGATGAAAAGTAAAGTGTTCTTCATTCAACCTTAAAATTGGGTAAGTTCGTAAAATTAGAAAGTGACTAAGTTGGGATCGCGAAAATTACATATTTTCCCATTAGTGTCTAAGATGGGTTCTATAATTGGCCACAGAATAGACTATAATGGGGTAGGTGCTCTGAGAGGCCAGCGGCACATACCCAACAAAAATTAACCCAAGTACCCCCCCCCCCGGATGGTTAGGTTGTTTTTGGATCCTCGGCTCAATTACCAAGCAGTCCAGGGGCAACTCTGTTTGCAAACATATGGTTTATCAAGCAGTACAACGAGATGCCAAAAGGTGTGGAGGGGTTTGTTCTTAAGGTTGACAAAATGAAGGTATGGAGCAACAAAACATTTTGAAGATTTAATAAATACATATCTAATTCAAAGGCTCTTCAATTTATCTACAGTAGAACCTCCCTTTGCTACAACCTCCCATAAGCGACCATTTTAAAATTATCCAAAACACCAAAATTTTCTCAGTCAAAGCGTTACAGTTGGAACCTCTAGTAAACGACCACGACCACTTTTGGGGGCTGACGCTTTTTAAATATAAATACAGTCTAATAAATATACCTGGATTTTTGAAAACCGGGTTAGCAAAAATATCAACTCATTCTACTACTCGGCAATTTAAAACAACAAAAAGGCCGATTAAAAGCCTATATCTGACGCCGCGCAGTAAGTTAATGGTCCCTAGAAGCATTCCAACGAGTCCAAATTTAAAATGACGCAAATTTGAGGACATTTATTCGGTAAACTGGCTTCGCGAAGTTTCAAACCGGTGTCATTTCAGTCTAGAAATTTTTAAGTTGAGTGAACTGCGCGAAAGAGTGCCTGGTTAAGGCTTACATAACAACTTAAATAGTTAGCAAAACTCTACTCTTTTCGCGGTCCGCATGGAATAGACAACAAACTGCGCCAGTACCGGTCAGCGGTACTGTAGATAAGGACACGCGCCCTAGACGCTCTCGTGCCTCGCTCTTGAGTTTGTTCTGTATTTCGCTGTTGTGCCTACAGTAGCATTAAAGTAGCAGTTGCTTTACCTGAACCGTGTCATCGATCGACCGACTCTCTCTTTACTGGCGTGGTGGCAGCGCTTCCGGATCTACGCCAAGAAATCCAAAAGAAAACAAAGCCAGAGCTACCCGTACAAACGTCGGTAAGTCGATACTTCGAACACCTTCGTCGCCCAAGCACGATTTATCCGTAAACTTGCAACCAAACCACAACTATGGCGAGTACCCTCCGAGCCCCAAAACAGTGGAGCCTGTCAAAGAACGAGTCCATCAACAGCTTCGAGAACTGGAGACAAAATCTGTTGTACACTTTATCCCTCGACAGCAATTTCGCTCCTTTCCTCGCAGAAGACGCTACGTGGGGGAAAAAGACTAAGTCCCAGCCCCTACGCGGCCTTACAGATGACGGGGAAACCATCCCGATCTCCAGACGCAAAACGGCTCGTCAGAAGGTCAATTTTCTCGAACTAATGCTCGGACAAATAGCCAACTATTGCCCAGTGATATCCAGGACCTCTCTCGTGAAGAACTCGACTTCGATTCACTCTGTTTGGAACATGATTCGTGCACATTTTGGCTTCCAAGTCACAGGCGCCCACTTTCTAGATTTCGCTGGCTTACATTTGGAAGCAGATGAACGCCCAGAGGATCTCTTTCAGAGACTGATGGCCTTCGTGGAGGACACTCTACTCCGTGCAAATAGCCTGTCACACCATGGTGAAGTTACCACAGAAGATGAGGAACTCACCCCCACCCTGGAGAATTTCATCGTTCTCACCTGGCTTAAACTGATCCACCCCGAGCTACCTAAGTTAATGAAACAGCGGTATGGAACTGAGCTACGATCACGGACTCTGGCCTCCATAAAGCCAGAGATATCTCAGGCCCTTACTTCCCTGCTCGACGAAATACGCACCGCTGATGATGCCAACAACAACACTTTACAACACTTTATTCACATTTCCATTACAGGGTTTGTCAAACTTATTGAATAATTAGTAACTTAACACGTAGAATATTCAATTACAATTTAAACTAAATATTATTACATAGAAGGAAATGCCTAGCGGCTAGATAACCGTAAGGTTTTCGAGCTAGCAACTAGTTCTTTGAAAGTAGTGTCGAATGTACAGGACATCACAATAACTAGACATACAAAACATCTTAAGACACACACCATAAAAAAAAAAAAAAAAAAGCACATAGATGGCAAAAAAAAAGAGAAAACAGTCATCATAGTACATGACGATATGATTAAAATAAAATAATTTCAGTAAGTTAATTGTTCGGCCAACAAGTATTCTTTTAATGTTTTAGGAAAGTTATAAGTTGAAAGGTCTTTTATATGGGTAGGGAGCTGTTGCCACAATTCGGTCGCCATAGCCGCTGTTGTTTGCTTTCCAATATTGGTCCTGGAACGTGGTTTGTAGAAGTTACTTTTTGAAGCATATCTCGTATTATATGTATGGACTTCACTTGCATAGCGAAAATGCTGATTAAAGATATTTGGTAATTTTTTAGAATGCCACTGATGAGTGAAGTTAAGAAGCTGTAGTTTATAGATATTTGTAACAGTAAGTAAATCCAATAAATTAAGTAATGGTAATGCACTGTCTGTATCTGGTCCAAACAAGGTGGCAAAGAACATAACGCGGATAACATGATTTTGTTTTGTTTGGATTTTTTTAATTTGAGTAGTAAATGCACTGCCCCAGGAGGTTATCGCATAAGATATATAAGGATAGATCAGGTTATAGTATAGTTGTTTAAGTTGTAAAAGGGAGGTGCAGTGTCTGAGTTTGCCAACAATTCCTGTGTTTCTAGAAATTCGAGTACATAAATAAGACACCTGATGTTTCCATGATAGCGTGTCATCTATAAGTACGCCCAAATATTTATATTTATGCCAAGATCATGCGCACCGCTGTCACTAACTACCGCAGACCTCTCGGCGTCAAAACCCCGTATAAGGCGACTACACGACCCAGCCGCCCCACTAAGTCCTGTCCCCTTTGCAAACAGGCAGGTCGCCCCGACAACCATTTCTTGAGCGAATGCAATTTCCTTCCAGACCAAGACCGCAAATACATCGCGAAGGCCAGACAGATCGCCGACATCTTTGATGCTCCCCATGAACCTGAGACCACACCCGACATGACCGACCCAGAAAGCGACACCGACGACGCTAGGCCTGGCCCAGGCCCTAAGGTCTTCCGCATACAGACCCGCCAGTCACCGTACCTAGACATGTTCTACTCCCACTACCCCGTACGAATCACCATCGATAGTGGGGCTACTGGAAACATGATCCGCCACACTGTCGTCCAACGTCTTGGCTGCCACATGACATCTAGCTCCCAGTCCGTCCACCAAGCGGACGGCTCATCCCCCCTTCAGGTCGTCGGTGAGACACGCTTCTTATTAAGCCGCGAAGGCCAAGATTTCACCTTCGAAGGACTCGTCGTTGAGAACCTCGACGTGGACATACTGGCAGGCACCCCCTTTATGGAAACCAACGATATTGCAGTACGCCCAGCTAAGCGCCAAGTGATCCTCCACAACGGTTCCATCGTCAGTTACGGGTCCCCACACCCGGCTACAGTAAACCCCGCCGCACGCCGTGCAATAGTACTCCGCTCTCCCCCCACGTCAATGACCGTCTGGCCCGGAGAGTTTGTTGAGGTCGACCTACCACACGACGTCCCCACTGACTCCGAATACGCCTTAGAGCCTCGAACAGATGCCCCCAGCGTTAGGCAGTTGTCAGCTTCCCAACTGTGGCCCACCCCACGCATAGTCTCTAGCGTGGCAGGAAAGATACGTATTCCCAATCTCTCATCCGAGCCGCACTTCCTCAAGCGTAATGAACACTTCTGCCAGATACGCGCCACCTTCACACCAGAACCCCTCGGCGACAACTCACCCCCAACAGCCAAGCCACCTCCCAAACCATCAGTACCTACCCCAGGTACAAAACACTCGTCAACCGTACGCCTTGACCCAGACAACTTACTTCCCCGGGATATAAGAGCAAAGTTCACTTCGCTGTTGGACGAGTATGACCACGTGTTCGACCCAAACATCAAGGGCTACAATGGTGCGGAAGGTCCGTTCGAAGCAAGAGTCAACATGGGACCTGTAGAACCCCCCCAGCGGAAAGGCCGTCTACCACAGTATGCCCGTCACCAGCTAGTGGAGCTCCAGCAGAAATTTGACGAACTTGAAGCTTTGGGTGTCTTCAGTCGCCCCGAAGACATAAACGTCACGGTCGAGTACCTGAACCCATCATTTCT